ATTTTGTTTTTTACCATTAATACAAAAAATGAATAGTCTTTTATTTACCAATCTATGTAAAACTGTTGTTATTATTATCAAACTTAGTGTTGACCTAATTAGGGTGAGTTAGCATCTCAAATATTAATGGGTAAAGACAAGTCAACAGTTTTGTTTAAGACAGTGATCTAATTTAGAATTTTATATGACATTGAGATAGCAATAACATTTTTAGGGATTTTATGTCAAAACAATCTTTGTATATAAAGAAACAGTTGTATGAGCATCTTTAATAACATTATTTAATGTAGTAAAATTAATAATTATGTATAATTCATGGCTTTACCAATTTTAAAAATATCAATGTATGTAGGGCATCATCTCATTAAAGTTGAGAAAAGATCTATCATGTTAAATTTCTTTTTTTTTAATTGTTGATAGATCTTTATTTTTATTTATTTATTTATATGTGGTGCTCAGAATCTAATCCAGTGCCTCACTCAGTTTAAAAAAAAGAAAGAAGTTATTGGCTATCCAGCTGATTAATTTATGGCTGTCTGGCTAATATTTTAGGGGTAACAATTTTTAGGGTTATTTTCCTCAGTGACAAACTGTTGACAAGACTTGAAATAAGGCCCTGTTTCAATGTTTAGAGGCTTCCAAAATCTGTTTAAAACTTAGAAGAGGAGTAAAATTTTTAACCAGGAAGTTTATTTTGGGGGGGGGGGTAAAATTAGCATTTTAATCTCTTTCTGCCTGTATGTTTGTCTTTCCTTTTCTTCATTTGGTCTCCATTTGACTATGGTGTAACATTCAAACTTGGCTAGGACTATATTAACCTTTGTAAATCCCTTGGAAATTCTAGGGCTAACTGGATGATAAACTCATCTTTTGAAAATGGGTGGCCCCCTATAAATCCAGGGTGTTGTACTGTCTTTTTGAGTCTCTCTATGAAAACAGGATTTTTGTAAAGGCTTACTAAAATTAGTTTTTAGAGATTCTGCTTACCTGTTGGATATCTGTTTTGGGGAGCTGTCTGTGCTCTAGACAGATTATCAGGTTTGTTCCTATTCTGTGTTATTGGGACATGGTTAAGGTAAACCTCCTTTAAAACTGTTTTTAAGGTGGCCCTCTATTATAAAGTTTAGCTAAGTAGTAGCATAATATCTCTCTAGGTAAGGTTAGACATCTGGCATAAATTTTGAAATATTACAATACATGTGAATTTGGATTTCTCAAAAATCTCCCTGAATTTGTTCTGGTCTATATTAAGTTTGAGAGGTTCCCTTTGATCTTTCTTTCCAGTAGGTGATTTTTTAAAGCCATCTCTGTTAATAGTAGCTGAGGCTACACATGAAAATGACAGGGGCTGGGGTTGTGGCTCAGTTGTGGAGTGCTCATCTAGCATGTACAAGGCCCTGGGTTCGATCCTCAGCACCACATAAAAAAATAAATAAATAAAATAAAGGTATTGTGTCCAACTACAATTAGAAATTAAATATTTAAAAAGAAAATGACATACCTTTTATTGATCATTGTAATTTTTTAGTATATAGACTAGTTGATCAATTTTGATGTTACATGCAAACGGACAATTTAAAAAGAACTCTCAATCTGAGACAAGGTCTCAAAATATCCTCATATCTTTAGATAAGTGACTCTTAATTGTGTGTTAAAAAATATGATTAAAGTTACTTCCCAGTGTAGGGAGCAATATACAAGTCTTACAATGTTTCATGGATTATAAGTTCAATCAGAGAATTTATGTAATACAATAAATTTCCCACAAAGTTTGTAACATTTATTGTTCAAAACTAACATTTGACTTTAATTTGGAGGACACCAGTCCTAATAGAGTATTCTCCCAAATCCTACAAACATCCAACAAACAGAAGTAATACATAAGAATCAGCAGTAATCATTACTGATGTCTGAATCAATCAATTTTAGCCTCCAAGGAGAAGTGTCAATATTGGAATTTAACTCATTTATTGTTTGACTAAGGATGTATGAATTGGATTCATTAAAAATTGGTCCTTGTTCAAACAGCAAGAATTATTAGGTATAAGCTTAATATTTTAATAAGCTCTGTCATGTCAGAATGTAGACAAAAATCTTAGTTTACATCAGCATAACAAAGTCAAGGAAATAGCCTGAAATATCCTAGAATTGATTAGTCTATATATATAGCCAGTACAGTTATACATAAATCTGTTTCTCAATTGTTTTAACTTTCTAAATAATCTGTCTAGATAATGATATAAATATTTCCCTATTTAGGAAGATCCCTTTATCATTAAAGTCTAGAATATAAAGACTTATGTTTTACCCAAAGATGATTTCTTTCTTCTTCGTAGGACCTCCAATGTGTGCTTCCTCTCTGTAAAAGTATCTTCTCCTTTTAGAATATTTCTTTATTACACTTTGGAAGAATTTCTGTAAATCTTAGCATCTAAACAAATTTATTGTACCTTGATAAGAAGAAATATCTCAATGAAAATATAGTTAAAGCCCTTGGACATTTCTGTTGACAGAATCATATTTGTTTATAATCTTATAAAATGTTGTACAATAATTTGAATAAGAAAAAAATAATAATTTGAGAATTAGAGATTACTTGATGGTTGTATTATCTCTTGAAAAAAATTTTTTTCTAGTAAAATATATTTATCTTAAACATTTGTAACCAAAAAAGCATAGTGTCAGATAAATGCATGTAAAAAAGGTATAAATTATGTGTTTTCTATTGAAAAATAATTGGAAGAAAATAGACTCCTATTAAATAAACAAATAGATATATTTTAATTATCCTATGAATATTAAAGAATATAGATTAATTAAATAATTGGAAAAATATGTATTAACAATAAAATGTATAGTTATAATTATCTTATGAAACCACATGCTTCTCAAAATATTTGGATCCATTTCAACTTATTGTTAACTAGGAGTACAGTCTAATCTCAAAATTTCTGTGCACATATCTGTCTATATTCTGTATTTACATAGTTAGAAACCAAGGAGAATACAGATATTTCATTGTCATGAGAGGTTGTGAGAAAATTATACTCAGATTGCTGGTCTTTTTTTAAATCACATGATGATCAAATGTACTCTTATAATCTTCAAAAATAAAAACCAAAAATAAAAACCAAACACAGGCATCACTCATAAATGTAATATTATCTCTGTAATTTTCCTTAATAACACAGCCATAAAGAATTTCTAAGGAAACCTATTGAGGGTTAAAAATCAGATTTTTTAAATCTCTTTGAGAACACATTAGGATTAGGGCAGCAACATAAAAGCTTGTGAAACCTGATTTTGCCTGAAAAAGAGATGTCGTATTTAGTTACAATGTATAAAAATTATGAAGGAATCTTATAACATTTGGGTGCAGGCCTTGTAATTCCTGTGGCCAGCCTGTGTGAGAAAGAAGAATGTTAGAAGCATGGAGGCAGAGCCCGACCCATTTCACATGTCAGATTACAGGGTTGAAATCCTGCCAAGGCTTTTGCACCATTTAGTATGTGCTTTTGAGGGCACTTGTCATGTTGACCAAACAGCTTGGAGCCTGTGGATGTGGCCACTGGGAGCAGCCACCAGCTGCTACTGCCTTGCGAAGCTCCCTCTACCATTTGAGTCCACTTGTTGCCCAAGGCAGGGTCTTGGGAAAGCCTCCAAAGAGCTTCCTCTGTTGGTTGAACTCCGTTGGATTTGTCTGCTTTCCCCTGCATGGAGTCCCTCTATGGCCACAGTGTGTAGGCATTTCACCAGCCCTCCAGGGTCCCAGAGGTTCGAGTGGTGGCACTGTGTTCCCCTGACTGACAGGCCAGCTGGCAAGAAGGGAGAACGGAAAGCCAGGTTTCCCTGTGTGCTGCCTCCATCTCATTAGGGCATGTGCCCATGAAAAAGGTGAGCAAATGGCTGTGCGGAGCTTCCCCTGGCGCCACAGACTTCCCATGCCTGGGCAGGATCCCATGGGTAGGAGGTGGCCTGCCTTCTCTATGTGAACTGTCCTCACCAGTTAGCCAGCTCGCAGAGCAGTTGTGCCTCTGTCTTTTGCACTCTCCCTTCAAAGCTTGTGGGCACCCCAAAAGTCTCCCAACTCAAAAGCTGGTTCCAGCGGAAGATGCTGGCCACCAAGTGTGGGTTTGGTACCCACCCCAGGTTATCTAAAGGTTAAAAGGATTGCCAAGGGCAGGTTAGAGCCTTGAATCTGTGTGACAGGAGCTGAGTTATAGCTAACTCAATTTTAATTTTTGGTAAGGATGTAGTGAGACACTCAGCAGATTTATTTGCCAAATTGTCTTAAATAAATCTAGAAAGTAAAAATAAAATGAACAGAGAACTTCTAGAATTTTAACATCCCACAAATAAAACAACCTCTCCTCTCCCTTCATTCTCTACACATTAATTTCAAGTACATAAAATCAAAACTTCTTACTTAGCCATTTTGAAATACAAAAACTCCACATTAGTTAAACCATAGGTCACAAAAAGGTTGTTTATGGGATAGGGCTACACTTCAAACATATACATTTTACCAACTACCTTCATAGATTCCCAGTAGGGCCTATATTTACTGCCATCTATTCTAGCTGATAAACTGTGCTACGTTCACAAATATGATTATGCCGTTAACTTAAGAAAATGGTGAAGAAAGCACGCAAAATCACAAAAGTACATTTTGAAAATCCAGAGACGGCTGTCTGCCCTTAGGGATCCATGAAAAGAAAGAGAGCCACTGGAATTCTTTATTTTTATATAGGGGACACACAAAGGTAGGTTCCAAGAATTCGTGAAAAAGACAAAGGGATAGGATTACAAAGAAACAGGTGAGTATAATTCAACTCCACCAGGTGCCTTCTACTCCTGGAGACAAGGCTCATTATCCCAGCAGAGGGAAACCAAAGTTATTGCACAGCACGATAATTTTTCAATATATCTTGCTCAGGACTTAAGGGTATATATTTCCAGAGAGCTTCCCAACATCAGGTATCTCTTTCTCCACCTTCTAGGACACGCAGACCTTCAAGACTCTGGATTCCAAGGCAGAAAATCACAGATTTCCGACTTCGCAACTCACACACAAAAAGAAATGAGTTACAACGTAGACACCAAACTAAAAACTACCCTACGCACCCAGCACAACCACACTGCCTACATCTTCTGGATTGCTATTCCACACAACAAGCTATCCACACCAACACCTCTACCCCTCTTCTCCAATAACTTCTGAGAAAGGCTACATTCACTGGATCCCTCCCCAATTCACACAGGTCCCACCACCTGGACCCCCAGAGGCCTCCTGTTTCAACTCAAGGATGGCTGAGCTGGAGAGCCGAGACAGAAGACACAGCTGTCTTCTTACCACCACCACTAACACCCCCAACCGAGCCGCAGCAGCTGCTGAGACCTCTACTGGGACATTCACAGCCCACTTCTTAAGCCTGGAGCAGAGTGAAGCCTGGAGGACCTCCACCAAGGGTTGCACAGACAGGACAGGAAAGGCTCCCCAACCACAGTGGCCTGGAGGAAGTATACTGTCAAGAGAAGGAGGACAGAATATACCAGCTGCTGCTTGCCTAACCTCTTTCTACACGTGGAATCCCCCAACCAGGCCTCCTCGCCCTTCCCCAGCAACCAACACACATCAAGCCAAGCCCAAGGCCCTGACCCCAGTCTGTATGGCTGAGTGTCTACCTCCACGCAGCCTCACCCCAAAGAAGGGGCGGGTCCACAGCAAACAAGCCTCACAATGCCTCTGAGCCCCCTGAGGGGTCCAGGCCTCCAGCACCCAACTATGCCCAGCTCCCAGGAAATAGCCCAGAGGAAGGCACTGGAAAAGGCACCCCCGCCCTCCCCGAAAACATCTGAGATGACTCAGGCAACCTCCTCGCCCCAAGCACCTCCATCCTCAGTAAACTGCAGGTGGGAGCAACTAAGGGACATCTAGCCACCCCTGAAGGGGCCCACTCCCTTCTGGACTGCGCTCCTGCCCTCTCTCACACTCAACCACCTGGACTCCAAGTCCAGCCAGGAAAGGGCCTGCGGGGGACAGGAAACGCTCGAACACTTCCTCACTTAGAACACCTCCCC